CTGGGCTGAGTCTTTTCAAGCCCCATGATGCTCCTTTAGGTACACTAACAGATCTAATTTATTGTTTCAGCTATGCTGTTAATTACCTTAAGCAAGTTGTCAACCTCTCTGGGCTTCACTTCTTCATTTGTACGATGGGAATAATCTATGTTTTTCTAACTTACAAATAAATATAAAATAAGATAGTCAATTAGAAAATTGACCAATCTAAATTCAAATCAAAGTATAAATCGTGTTAGCGTTTTTATTTACATTGGGTTTTAAGTGGTAAGAGGGGAAAACACATAGCAATAATTTCAAGGTAGACCATTTACAAAGAACACAGAATTTGGAATCAGCCAATCTAGGTGCCGGACCTGGTTTGCAAGGATTGGTGGTGTGTCTCTGGACAGGTCATTGAATCTCTCAGGGCCTCAGTTTTCTTATCTATCAAACAGGGGTGCTATTTTTAGCTCTGTGACCCTGTATTCTAAGACTACTATGAATCGAAAGACAAATATTCAAATTTTGGTGCAAAACATGTAAAGCTTCTTGGGGTGATGGTGCTGCTTCCAAGCTGGTCAGTGGATTAAGAGTCTGACGTTCTGCCACTCATAAAGGATGACAGAGTTCAAAAGCTAAAACTGTAAAGCAAAAGACATTTGACACCTTTGGGGAAAAAAGGCAACAGCATTAAAGCTCGTTACTTCCTAAAGAATGGTCTTCATTCTGAATGGGAACCGCTGGCTTCTCTCTGGTGTTCAGCATTCCAGAGGAAGCCTGAAAGCAAGTTATCTGGCTAGAGTCATTGCTCCAAGCGTTAGATTTTTTTAAGCAGGGTTTTTTATTAGCCAGAGAAAATAATTTTTAAAAAAGGAAAACCCCAAGACCCACAGCTAGCTTTGATGGCAACTTTTCTAGAAGCGCAGTTGCCAGCTGCACTTTGGCTTGCTCCTCTGGGTGGCCAGATCCTGGTTTGAAGGAGCTTCCCATGCAGCAGGTTTCACCTCGGCCGGTTTGGATGGATTAGTAGGTACCTGGAATGTCATCTCGAAAGACTGAAACTTGGTCTGGGCTCAATGGAAAGAGTTCTGTGATTGATTAGGGTTGTCTGCCCTGGGCTTAGGTAGGACCATATTTGTGCCAGGTATTTGCTCTCCTGACAGAGCAGGTTATGAAGGATCCTTTAGTACTTGTCCCTCCAGTGGGCAGAAGATCAAGGACTCGGGCCAGTGCTGTTTCCGGTGTCCTGGAAAAGTGTTTATCCAAGACCCTGGCAAGTATTGTTTTTTGTCAGCGGAAGTGTTAACTCTGGTTAGCTTCACAGAATGGAAGAAGGGAAGTCTGTTGATTCTGTACCATGGTCACAGGACAGGAGTGGCCAGGTGGAAGGAAGCTATAACTCCAACAGTCCCCGTCAGATTCCCGTGGATACTCCAGTGGAGCACAGACTGGGGTGCTTACTGCTCAGCAGAGGCAGCGGCAAGCCATAGAGCCTGGCAGGCTGTGGCCAGCGGTCACGGCTGCAGAGTCCCTGGAAAACTGGCCCTTGGAAGGACGAGGAGGCTGGGCCCTCGGGACTCCACACACTGTGATTCTTTTTTTTGATATATAAAAATTTATTTATTTGTTTTTTATTTTTGGCTGTGTTGGATCTTCGTTGCTGCACACAGGCTTTCTCTAGTTGCAGCGAGCGGGGGCTACTCTTCATTGCAGTGTGTGGGCTTCTCATTGCGGTGGTTTCTCTTGTTGCAGAGCACGGGCTCTAGGTACATGGGCTTCAGTAGTTGTGGCACACGGGCTCAGTAGTTGTGGCTCATGGGCTCTAAAGCACAGGCTCAGTAGTTGTGGCACACAGGCTTAGTTGCTCCGCGGCATGTGGGATCTTCCCGGACCAGGGCTTGAACCTGTGTCCCCTGCATTGGCAGGTAGATTCTTACCCACTGAGCCACCAGGGAAGTCCCTACACACTGTGATTCTTGACATTGAATACAGAAGTTCTGTTACCTTCCTTAAAAAGCATTGGAGAATTTGCCAGTCTACTTAGGATTGGAGGTGACCTTCAGTTACCCATGTTAGTAGTTCTGAAGTTTTTTTCTCTTCAGCCTTGGAATGTGCTTTATGTTTTTGTGCTGTTGATCTGCTTTCCTAGAGATGTTTGAACGCTTCAGATTTTTCTTTTTGTAAAGCATGCTCTGGGGGAGTGTAGTGCTCTTCACAGCTCCCCCAGTGTGCTTCCCCTAGCCAGCCAAATGTCTTGGAGACCCCCTAATCTCCTGACTTTAAATCCATCAACTACACTAGTGGATTGATAATAGTTGCGATTTATTGAACACTTAGTATGTGCTTCCAGGCACCAGGGTCACTGTATGACAAGGGATTGATGCAGGAGTGTATGGGGGCAGTGGGGTGAAGTGGGCTCGAGTTTAAACATTGTCTATGGAGAAGGTACAAAAGAGTTCACTGAGAGTGGACCTGACTTCCTCTGCTACTGAGGTTTCCTGCTGTTTCCAGTGACTGCACTTGAGCTGTGCATATGATTAACTTTCAATTATCCTGAGCCAATTAACCGGTTTGCAGATTAACCAAGGTGAAGGCTCACCTGGGCCTGGGAGGTGCTCATCATCTCAACTGCTCCGTAATTAGCTGGTTATGGCTGATTGCATACCCCGTGGTCCAGGAGCCTGAGGGCTGGGCTGCTGCAAGGGAGGGGAGACAAGGAGCAGTGTCTTCTAGGACCTTCCACCCCCTTCAACGAGAGGAGCCCACTGGCTCATAAAATCCTGCAGTCTCTGGTACAGTCCCTGGGAGGTTCAGAGGCTCCTGGAGTCCTGGTGCTCTGCCCCTGTCCCCAGTACCTTCCAAGTTGGGAAGCTCAAGTTGGCTGGAGGGCACAGTGCATTTGAAATTCCCAGAGATGCAGTGATCTAATATGTTGAAAGGGGCGCAGTGAGCAGGGGCACTAATCCCCCTTTTCTTCCTCAGCCCGTGAACCACCCTTCCATCGCCACCCCAAAGATGTAGTTGACAGGCTTGAGACCCTGAGCAATGGGTCCCTCCTGTGGTCATAGGAGGCCAAGGCCACAGTGGCAACGAGGTGGGAGTTGCCCACAAAAGCAAGGTGTTTGCCACACCTTACACCAGCCCAGAGTATACACAGTTTAACCCGGGAGCCAAACTCCTGCCATACTTGGAGTGATCTCAGTTTCGTGGGGAGGAACCTTGAATCCCAGGTAAACTCCAAATCTTGAGAAAGTGTCCATGACGGACTTTGGCCTATGGCCTGTGAAGGAAGAACAAGCCTTTGCACAGGATGGTGTTTGATGGGCTTCTGTGGATTATCTTTATGTCTTAGGCAGTGTTCACCCGAGCACCTGGCACATCCTTTCACCTCTGACTCCGTGATCATCCTGCACCTGCCAGGCCTGGAGGCCTTGCCTCAGTACACCCCAGTTTGCCGACAGCTGCGTTCCCTTCTCAGCCTGGGCCATGGGTTTCCTCAGGTCCTTCTCTTTGGCTCACGTTTTCCCAGGGCTGCTTGTGTGTACAGTCTAGAGATCACATTTTATTAACACAAAGAAATCTGCTCGGGCTGCCTGGCTCTCACAGTCACATGGAGAGAAATGTGCTCCTTCGCTTCGCCAGCCCTCAGCTCTCTGTGCAGAATACAGCCGAGCGCTGGGCACCGGGCCAAGCTTACATTTCACATTGGAACACACTTTCACATCACTCGTTGGCAGGACATCCATGGCGGTGTCTATTTGGGGGGTAAGTCAGAGAAGTGTTATTTCCCTCTTCTGCGTGTCGAGAGATAGGACCTTTAAAAAATGTTTGACCAGGGCTTCCCTGGTGGCGCAGTGGTTGAGAGTCCGCCTGCCAATGCAGGGGACACGGGTTCGTGCCCCGGTCCGGGAAGATCCCACATGCCGCGGAGCGGCTGGGCCCGTGAGCCATGGCCGCTGAGCCTGCGCGTCCGGAGCCTGTGCTTCGCAATGGGAGAGGCCACAACAGTGAGAGGCCCGCGTACCGCAAAATAAATAATAATAAAATAAAAAAATAAAAATAAATAAAAAATGTTTGACCTTTCCCCATCCTTGTTGTCTGCAAGGTGCCCAGGTAGTTAGGTGATCCAGCGAAGCGTGGCAGCAGCACGTGAGAGAAGCCCCCTCCCTCCCAGGTTCCCCTGTTTCCTAAATCAGTAAACATAGCCAGGACTGCCTGGGACAGAGAAACTCAGGCCAAGGTAATAACATCAAAACCAAAGTCCTGGAACTCTTGAGTAAACTAGTTACCCTCCCAGATAAAACAACTTTGTTGTCCAAATCTTCCTTTCCAAAGATCTAAGACTTTTCAAATGCTGGTCCAAGGCCAACCATTGAAAGAGAGAACTTCAGCAAGCCTCCTGGAATGGAAAACACTGTTAAAGTAAACAAACGAGCCTCTTCCATTCAGTTTTCCCTTACTGGTCTATTTTTATGTCTTATTTTACCACCCCCCACCCCGGTACTTAACATTTTGTAATACTCTCCCTTCTCCACTTCTACTCCCATCTCCGTCTCACTTTTCTCAGGGAGCAAGCTGATCATTTTGCCTTCGGTAGCACAAATATCCAATTTCAAAAAGAGGAGTTGGGGGAAAGAGGTGGTATAATTCACTTCTTTTGGTGTCCCCCTCATACTCAGCTCTTACACGTGGATGCCTGAAGCCTGACTTGGGTTTGAAAAGAAATTTGATCCTGGAATTTTAAACCCTTTTTAGGAAAGATTGGAATGGTTAGAAAACAAAGATTTACTGGAATAATACTGACTTTTCTCAATGAAATAGATCCCTCTTGAAACAAAAAAGTTGAAAGTAAACTCTTCCTTCCCCATCACACCAACCCATAAATTCCGTGAGGATTTCCCAAGTGCCAAAGCTTATTCTGATTCTAGTGTTGACTACTTTGGGATGTTGCTTTTGCTGTCCGTCCCATCCAGCCAAGCAACAACTAATCAAGATTTAAAGAAACTTTTTCCCACAAGATGCATATGCCACCTGCTGCTTCGTAGGACAGGCCACCCGTGGGAAGCCCCCTCTCACTGAGAAGGATGCCCAGAACCTTGGGGACCCGGATGCAGTCTCCTACCAGTCACCTGGTGAAGCTTATGCTTACTCTGCAGAAGGGAGGTGGCAGAAACCCATTCCACCTGGAAGTAAGTAGTTTTAAAAATAATGCCAAGTTCTCATATGGTGGGTAGATGCCTCAGCTCAGTGCAGGGTGGAAAGAGTGCTACTTCACAGAGTAAAACCGTTGCAATCACATCACTCATTTCAGGAGAGGTCAGATAAAGTTTATTGGAGAGATGAAAGTCACCCTGCAGTTTCAAAGAGTTCTCCTGAAAGCATTGAGAAATGGTTGAAGTTCAGAAGTTGATTTGAAGCTTTGTTTCCCTTCCCCTTATAAGCGAGACAGGTATTTTTTAGTCACATTTTCCTTTTTGATGGACAGAAGATCTGGCGGATGACTGGGATGGTCTGATCTGCAGTCAGTGGCAGGTCTGTTGTGTGGGTCATCTGCTTTCTGCATGGGCCGTGGTGAATGTGTAAGCTCTGGCTAGTTGCCATCTGCCACCCAGCAAGACAGCACCTCGAGGCTTTAACCCTCTGCCCTCGCTTGGGGAGGTGTTCAGGGAATGTAATTTCATGTTATAATTAACTGAAGCAATGTGCAGTGCTTTTCTTAGTGTGTTATAGTGGCACGACACTTATCACTCAGAATTGACTGTATCGGGACTGCTTTGACAATCAGTAGGTTAAGTGGTTGGGCCTGAGTTTGGCCTACTCTCGTGCCAGTGTGGGTACTTGAATCCTGTGAGAGTTTTGCATAAAACGGGTAGAGGTGTGTTGAACCCAGTTTTCCCCAAAGCACTTCTGTGGACTCTGCACTCGGCTTGCAAGTGTCTCAGAGGCACAGGAAAGGGTTTTCTCTCTCGGGCACCTAAGCCCATGCTTTACACTGTAGTTGGTGTAAGTGTTTACTCAGTAAATATTTGTTCAGTGATTGAAATAACAAAGACATTACTTTCATTATAAATGGTTTTACAAGAGCACTTGTGCTCACTTTAATATCTTCAGTGATGCTGGCAGAATTCAGTTCAACATGGCGAGTCTTTGCAAAAGGTCACGTGAGTGTGTTGAGCTCCTTTGGGGCAGAACTGAGTCAGGGTGGTCTTGAAGGAAGGGACATGCAGACAGACCCTGTGGACAGTGACAGGGCCAGGGCTCACCACAAGGCTTTGGTGAGCTGCTCTTCCATGTGAACTTTTTGCTATTTTCTGATTGGTTGTTAAATAGCCAAGGATGAAGTGTTTTCAGATGAGAGATGGCAAGTAAAGGTGGATACCCAGCCCTGACTTTCCGTCTTCAATGATAGACACAACTGGAAGTCAGCAGCTCCAGACTCTACAGTATTCCCAGATCACCTGTAAGAGTTCTTGAAACTCATCTAACAGTTTTATTTTTAATAAATTTATTTATTTTATTTATTTATTTTTGGCTGCATTGAGTCTTCGTTGCTGCATGCGGGCTTTCTCTAGTTGCGGAGAGCGGGGGCCACTCTTGGTTGTGGTGCGCGGGCTTCTCATCGCGGTGGCTTCTCTTCTTGCAGGGCACGGGCTCTAGGAGCACAGGCTTCAGTAGTTGTGGCACACGGGCTCAGTAGTTGTGGCTCATGGGCTTAGTTGCTCTGTGGCATGTGGGATCTTCCCAGACCAGGGCTCGAACCTGTGTTCCCTGCCTTGGCAGGCGGATTCTTAACCACTGCGCCACCAGGGAAGCCCATCTAACAGGTTCTTAATTGGAATTTTTTTAAACATGGAATTCATAATATTTTATTTTATTATTATTATTTTTTGGCCACTCCACGCGGCATGTGGGATCTTAGTTCCCTGACCACGGATCCAACCCAGACCCCCTGCAGTGGAAGTGGAAGTGTGGAGTCTTAACCACTGGACCGCCAGGGAAGTCCCCTCTTAATTGGAATTTTAACTGAGCAAGTAAGAAGTCCCATGTTGGGCTGGGGGAAAGGAGGAATGGAGAGGGATGTCGTTTTTTTAAAAAAACACCAACTTATATTTCTTTGGCTAATAGATGCGGAGGAGGCCTCTCTGGCTGGCGTGTGAGGATGTAACTTCCTTGAGCATAGGATTTGATTGGTTTATGGAGTGGTGCTTCTGCCCTTACCTGCCAGTGGTTGGGGTCACTAAAACAGACACAGCCCTGCTGGAGAGGAGAGGGGCTTCAGAGGTCCACTCCAGGAGCAGCTGCAGCCCGCCACTGAGGGGTGGCAGGAGGCTGCCCTTCTGGCTCACTGCCTCCACAGCAGCAGGTGAAGAGTTAGAATAGGTTGATGGCTGGACTTGTGATGTCCTCAGCAGTCCCTGAGCAGAGTTCATTCTAAGCCCCCAGCATGCTCTGTGCCCACACCAGGGAATACAGTGTGAAGCTTCCAGCAACACCCGGAGATGCTCGACCCTTCCCACGTGTGTGTGTTCAGTTTGCTGTGTCTCAATTTAGTAGAACGTTGGGGAAAATAACCTCCCTCCTGCCAGGGTGAGGTTGCAAAGGTCTCTGGAAGGAACAGTGCAGAAAATTATTCAAATAACTGAGGCATTTGAAAAATTATTTTGAGAAGGATTTAAAATATTTTAAAAAATACATAGCAAGCACCCTTCCTCCATTATCCAGAATTAACAACTTGGCATATTTACCATATATGTTCATATATAAATTTATATAGTCATCTATGAATTTAAACATTATAGATCAAGTTGGGGTCTTGGGGAACTTTTTAAAAGAAGCTGTGTGTGAACTCATAAGGCAGAGCAGAAATAACTCCAAATCTGCTTTCTCAGATGTGAATCCCTCCTGGCACTTTGGGTCTGTTGTATTAATAAATAAGCCTGGTTTTAGGCTAGTTAGAAAAGAAGGCCAGGCTGGTGCATCAGAACGCTGCATTCCTTTTGGTTAGACTTTGTCAGAGGATAGGCAGGCGGCTGTTTGGCACAGAGTTTCTGGGTGTTTCCCTTTGGAATATAAAAGGAGTATCTCTTAACCCCAGGAGAGACTGCACCAGAGCCATCTTCTTCCCTCGGTGCTGAAGAAAAACAGACAAATACGCACAACCAACATTCAAAGAAGGGCGTGGTGCAGCCTGAAGACAGGTAGTGAGCTGTGACACTGGCTCACTCCAAGGACTGCAGTGTCATAGGGACGCCCGTTAGAGGTGGCAGCCGGAGTGGTCACCATTGTGCCTTCTCTCCTGGTTGGTGAAATCCTGTGAATCAGGCAATCTACAGTGTGCACCAGTTTTCCTCTGAACACAGAGCTTCCATCAAACGGGTGAAAAGAAACAGCGGGATAATAGCTAACCCTTCTCTAGTGTTTACTGTAGTCTGGGCACTAGGCTAAGTACATGTATTATCTCATTAAAACTCAAAACAAACCCTGGGCACTGCTATTTTTAGTACTAGGTAGGTACTATTATTATGGTCCTTTCACAGATGAGAAAACCAAGACCCAGAGAACTGAGTAAATGCTGACGGGAGCCCAGTTGGTAGACAGCAGGGCTGGTACGTGCAGCCCCACGGCCTGGCACCAGCATCCATGCGCCGAGCTGCTACCTCTCCTGCTTCTCCATAGGAGGCACTTTGCTTCATGGAAGGTGGAGAACTCCTGGGACCTCAGAACCCCCGTGTGGATGGCACAACACAGTGTCTTAGGTGTACTGGGAACCTGGGTGTGGAGGGGATGCAGACGAAAGGAGCAACAAAACCAGGCCAGTCAGACGCACTGTCTGTGGCGGCCCTGAGGTCTCCGCAGCCAGGGCCTGGAGAGGCCAGCTTTCAGAGCACAGGCTTTACTTTTAAATCATGAAGAGTTTAATTTAAAAATGGATTCTGTGCTTTGGTGTGACTCTCAAATCCACAGTGCCTTCCAATTTCTTAAAAGTGAAACACTGTGAAATGATAAACACAGACATCCAGAAAGAGTCAGGGACAGTCTAGAGGGGTACTGGGAACATGTCATGCCTTGGTGCCAAGCCCACGGCACAGTCCACGTGAGGCAGAGAGCAGGAATCATCCTCCTGGTGCCCATTCTTTGCGGATCTGCCCTGGTACAATAGTGAGACCCATCAGTCCGGAGAATCTCAGTCTTCCATGCAGAGATCCCCCGCTTCAGCTGCCCTGAGAAACCCACATACAGAAGCATGCATGGCTGTGTGGATGTGCTGGGCGGCAGCTCTGCACTTTGCCGTCAGCCGGGGGGGAAGGAGTGTTCGCCTTCACGTGCTTCTCAGAGATGTGCTTGCTGAGAGCTCCTTGCAGATTCAAAACATGGGGGACGTGTGTTCTCGAGAGCTGTGTATGTGAAGCAGCACAGAGCATGCAGCCGGCACTTGGTAAATATTAGTTCCCTTCCCCTTCCTGTGTGTGAGGCAAGTCGTACAAGGGAAGCGTCAGCAGTTCGGATGCAAAAATAGATCTCCATGTGAGGATGTGGCCTCTTTTCCTTGAGTGTGGACCAGATGTCAGGCTGCCTGGTGAGGACTCCAGGAACGTGACAGCTTCCTTCTTAGGGGCTTCATTGCTGCTTCACTCTGTGGAGAGGCCTCCCTCTCCATGCACTTCTTGCATCTGAAAAACAAGAATGAAAAAGAGGATGGTATAAAAGTCCCAGGAATGAACTTTCTGTTTTCTCCTTCTTAAAAAGGATTTGCGTGTTATTTGGATCTTACTTTCAAGTCTGATACCTGTTCATCACATCATTATCCCTGTTATTATTGAATAACATGACAAAAATTAATGTAGAACCACAGCAAATGGACATTTGTTTTGAGTGTGTTTATCCTTTTCCTTACCTGACATTTGCTGAGGGCCAACTATTTACCAGGCACTGAGCTAGGTGTTGGGAATTCAGAGATAAGGAAGGGTCCATCCCTTGAACTTGAGCAGTTTATGAATTGCAAAGAGATAGTTAAATAATTGCGAATAAAGTGTTAAGGGTATGTACAAAGTGAAGGCAAGAGAGGTCAGCTCTGAATGGGGTGCGGAGGTAAGATCAGAGATGATCTTTGAATTGTGTATTGAAGAATAAGCACAAATTGTTCAATAAGAAGGATACATTTAAGTGACTCATTGAATTTTTCTTGTCT